TAGGTTTTGTTTATATTCTATGACCATGTTAGTACCACAGTTATATGTAATTATTCGATCTAAATACACAATAGAAAAGAATGCGTCGTCACCCCTGAAATTGGATATTATAACTTCAAAGCACCAACGCAAAGCAAACGCATTTAGTAGCAGTTTTCCACTGCTACTTAATTTCAAAATTTATATGAATTTATTTTTGTCTAACTGCCGGGATATGACAAAGGAGGGTTTACACTGATGGAGGTTGCTGGTTTTTTGTTTTTTTTTTTTATAAAGTCCACTTTTACCAGACTACCTAACGATCCCATAATGAAAAGTCGGTGGACGTCACAGGAAGAAGTCGTGAAGAAGATTTCTGGCAACCAGCAAAAATAATTGTTAAACAAGTTTTGCGTTACATAGGTATGTATTGTACAAAAATACCAAAATTTTAAAGGTAAATAATATTTAAATTCAGAGCCTTAATCATCATATTGTGAAAAAAGGTCAATTTTATTGTTTGTTTCTATATTATTGAAGCTATTATTTTAGTTAAACTAAATAAAAAGGACATTGGGCAAAAATGTATGGACGCTGCACCCACGTCCGCCACGGCTTAAACTACATTTGTTTGAAAGGTATTATAGTCAGGATCATCTGTGCCAAAGCGCATCAAATTCCATCTCGGGGGTCTTTAGTTATTTTAAGTTAAATATGTACAAGTACTATAACGAACGAATTTAATGAAACAAGGGAATTAATTTAGTTGCTTATGGGAGTACTTCACAAGGTGCGAGGGTGCCCCCATATGTTATTCTGCCGCGCTAGAGTAAATCCAAAAATCCCCGCATGGGTTGGGTTTTTTTAAACATTCTGTTCGTTATAGTAAATTGTCTTCTATGTAAAACGGAGCGACTACAGATTACACAAACTTGTCCACGCTTCGGAGAACACATTATTCCAGTTCATCCATACTAATTGACAAAACTGATAATCGTGTTCCAATATCCAAAGCGTGTTAGATAAAAATCAATTAAGTAGCAGGGAGCGCACAATCACAACGAAGTAAGACGAGTCGACAATTTGCAACTGCAAGTCCTTCAGCATCCGTAAACAGTTTTAAAATGTCTCAGTAAGAGTAAGCGCAGGATGGTCGGCAGGCTTTGTCGTATATCTGGTTGTATAGTACGATATGGCATATTATTATGATTACTAATAATATAAAATGAAGGTACTATAAAATGAATTTATTCAGCTACTTAAATATGCCCATGTGTCATATCTATTGACTGCCAGGATATTTATTACGGTGCCATATCTTTTGACTCCCAGGATATTTATTTTCGGTGTCATAATAAAAAAAGACTAGTTTTTCATAGATCTATCGATTCATACTAATTACATTGTTGGCGGAGCTGGGTGTGTTTTGCCCATTGTCCTTTGTAACAAGTAGTATTTTTATTTCAAATATCCAAGTATAAATTTATACGTTTTACAGATGTTTCAACGTCTATGATTTTCAATTGTGAATATTAAACTAATTTTTATTTCATTAATTTAACCCACTTTTTGGGGAGTGTCCTTACCTGGTATCTTACGTATGCGAATAATAATGACATTTTGCTGACATTTCGTGAGTGTAAGATGCAAGATTCGCATTTTTTTTTGCGTGTCACGCACACAAGTACATATGACCTTGTCTGTTTTTATCGCAGTGTTTACTAGCTGACACTCTAACTAGAGAGTAAATAATCAAAGGGTTAAACTTTAATACCCTTATTAGTAAACGAGGAATAAGCTTAGACTAATTACGCCATTTTTGTTCATATCACTCAAATGCCATTTGTCATTCAATGAACCGAGACAAAACAAAGAGTAACTAATCCAAGCTTAGTCTCCGTTTATTAAGAAGGGGGGAAAAGTCGAATTTTATAATGTACCAGGTACCTCAATAAAAATGCTATCACAGAAACAAAGACGGATGCATTTATCCAATGAAAAAATGAAAAAATACTGAGGATCTCCAGCGCAGAGTGCCGACAGAAGTCAAAACTCAAATCGCAAAAAAAAACTTACCAAAATCTATACAAAAATAAAAAAAACTTATCCCAAGAAATGCCTAATTATTAAAATCTGGAGCACTCATTTGGTGAAGCACCCTACTTTATTATATCGATTTTCTAATCTTAGGGCAATAATTATTACTTGGTGGTGTACTTTTTTGATGGCGCGTAAGGCGCTACCAGTTTGGCAAAATTGTTACATGAAAAATAAATAAACCAAAAAATTACTTAAATAAAAATATCCATCATTAAGTCTCAAAATAATAAGGACCTGTTGCTGGCCAGTCCTGGCCTTCCGCTACAATGTTTTAACTTTCAGGCTTTTATTATTTGCTTTTGGAATTTCAGTACCTGGCTCAGTGTTAATGTGATTTTCTATATCTCCCATTGTTATGTAAAACTTTTTAAATGTTGCTACTAAGAGAAAGAACATTCAGTAGAAAACGACCTGTAAAGGTCAATGACCAGCCGCAGGTGTATGATTCTATATAGTGAGGTGCGTATCACCACGTGACCAAGTGCTCCCGATGGAATATCACTTTCGCAACTTTTTTATATTCATTGTGGCCTCGGAAACTATCACTTATATATTATTTGTTCTTAACTAGTGTTATTTAGAGAAATTTCATGTCCTAATAATACATTACGATTTAAATTCTTATTTATTAATAGTCATTCTTGTATTTCGCTAATAATACACGAGGTTACATAATTATTTTTATTGTAACAATTGCGAAAGTTTCTTTAATACTTATTCTTTGTCTGTATTTTGAGATCCAACTTTGTTTATTCTTAAGAAGTAGAGCATAACAGTATTCAATAATTTTGAAAATACAAGATGGAAATAAAGTGCATCGAAAAATAAGTTCAAAGATATATATGCTGAGCTTTCCCTGAGCTTCTTATTGTCAATTAAACCCGAGCAGAAAAGTGTGAGAGGGACGAAGCAATCGTGAGGCAAATACTTCATAGGTATATTGGCTGCACCATAGCTGTCTAGATAAAAATAATAAGTTTAATTGACCAAACAATCAGAACAATAAGATTTCTTAACAAACTTAGCACTAGTTATACAAAAATTATAATTTAATAGCCTTTGCTGCTGAACTAGACAAGGCCTGTATTTCAGCATTCAGCGCCATAAACCCACACATACATGTGAATACTAAACTAGATCATTCTAAACAGTAATTAATGTGATGCGAGTGTATCGTAAACTTCTCCCACACCTGTGCAACATTGTTGTGGCATTAAAATGCGCTAAAATTAGCGTTAATTTGAATTAGTTAGTTCGATCATAAGTACATCTAGCTGCACATGCACATTTATCGTCTCCCATAACCTCTTTTATTCGTGTCAAAAATCGCCAGTCAAGATAGCTTCTATAGACACGTAGCACGATAATTCATTACGATGCACGATGGACCTACATTCAAATTTCGAACGATAATTTTAGCTCATATAACACATGAGTAAAGAATATAGTCCGTTCTTTTCTTTACTCATGTGCAGTTAGTACCAAGATTCGTCGCGTAGACATGGGAGAGAAGCATAAGTCCATTCTCTCTCCATGAAAAATACATCCCTCCGAAATAAAAGAGTGTACTCAGATAAGTTAGTGTAATTTGTAGCAATTAGGCCAAATTTTCATTGGGTAGAGCCTTGTAGAGCTTAGATTGAAAGAAATGTATCGCGAGTACAATTCTCTTGTTATCTTTGTAGACTTTTGCTATATCTCACTATGAAGAGGTCCTATTGATGTTTGAGATTCAAATTATATTAAACTAAGACAAATGCCATTCATATTATGATCACTCATAGGCAAGCTCGTATCCCGAGGCCAGCAATTCCATTACGATTCCGATAGTGTAGAGTTTCATACAAAGTATCTCAGATTACAGAACTGAAGGCAGATGGAGCGCACGGTACACAGATTGCGTGCCACCAAAGCAAATATCAAGTCAAAAGGCAATATCAACTCGCGTCAGTACACTACAACGCATCGTGTTGTGAATACGTCCCGTGAATATTAAGTTTTTATCAAAACTGTGCCGCCTGGTTCAAACATTGCAAACAATTTTCAAAACTGTTCACAAAGACAAAAATAAGTGTTTACTTTTGACTTCGTATTTGCTTTGGTGGCTGCACTTGTGGGTTCCGTACGTTCCATCTGCCTTTGTTCTGTAGTCTGAGCAAAGAATGCTGAGCATATCGACTTGATACGGTTACGATCCCTTTTCGATTTGATATGTTTGCTATGGAACCATTGGGTTATATTTGATGTCAGAGCAATCGACATAAATAATTACATAATGCGATTTGCTGAAAGGTGAATGAAACGAACCAATTGCGTAGGTGCTTAACACATCAGTGTTACATTGGACAAGACCAGACGTTTGTATTGCATATCACGTGTCCCAAAATGTGGTGATACCCACAATCACGACAATTTAATATAAATATAACGAAATATAACAATAGTATAGCAATTATATTTTTACAGTTAATAATTATATTGTTAACACAACAAAACTTATTATTTTTTAACTGTATTGTTTCACAAATAATGTCAAGAATTGGTTTATTACCATAACTTGAATAATTTGATTATGCAAAAAACAAAACAAAACTTGCCAAGTGAAAATTTTAGGTGTCTACCTTTTTCCGTCATTCATTATTATATAGCTCTGCGACAGACAGACAGTTTCGTTTTTAAATGTGGTGGTTATGTTATTGACTAATTTAAGATACTTCCTATATATAAATAAATTGTAAATCTTTTCATAATACCATCGCATTGTTTGTAAGTGGCAATTGTAGATTGACTCCCACGTAATTAGGTATCATGCTGCAGATAATGGTACTTTTGAAACATTGTACTTATGATGTAGTTAGCCATTTATTTATACTGGGAAAGGAGAATCTGGGAAAGGAAGAATTTCAATAAAAAAAAATCAATTATCAAGTACTTAAAATTTTATTCTAAGCATACTCATAAATAAAGTCTTTACAATAACAACACTCTTCGTTAATACTAGAAGGCCATTCACGACAGCATTGTAATTTTAATATAAAATTACAGAGCAATAACAAATTATCTACAAATCGTTCCGAAGTCCCGTTTGAACCGGGTTCGAATAATCAGTCGAGTAACACAACTGTCACAACTATAAGTTATAAAATACTGCTTAAGTTACAACACGTGAGAACTATTTTATAGGTAAAAAGAACCAAATCTAACTTGGGGTTTTGTTTTGGATAATAAATTGGAAGCAGTTTTGAATATACTGATGAAAGGTCTGAAAGTTGAGGTCTCTGCATGATATGTATGGTACGTTTCTGGTTGTTTGTACTGATATTGGTACTGGTTATAATACTGATTGCTGAACTGATTGTTGTATTGGTAGTTGTATGCTTGAGAATCTCCAGTGCTCTCGGGAATGACATTCGAGATGTAGGTGTTCGTGTTGTCGATGGTCTGGAAACTAGACGACGAGGTGAAACTAGCCGCTGTAACAAAGGAGAAACAAACAAAATTAGTTAAATAAATCAATATAAACTATAAATATATCATAACATCTAGAGCATTGTTTTGATCCCGATATCTGATATCCTCAAAATGTGTGTCGTGCGTGAAAATTCAAAAGCAAATGCAAATGGGCTCAAAACAATTGAGTTAATGACACTTACAAGAATCGTCATATGGATTTGAAAAAATAGAATTTTTAAAACATAATAAAGACAAAATTTGTCAAATTGATACTTACAGCAAAGTCCAGAGTATTTTGTTGATTCAGAGAGACCGTAGCTGCTGCAAGACGGGTAACCCTTCTCGTACGGTTTGGAGCCGATGACATTGCCTCCAGGTCCGTAATTGCAGACGTACAGCTTGGTGTAACCTCGACTCGGGTCGTAGTAGAACGTGTAGCCACAACCAACTTGAGAAGTCTCGCCCCAAACCAACTGTACGAACAAAACAAAACAGGTTGTAAAACATATTCAAACTTAATGAAAACCTTAGATAAGCCGAAATAGTGGAGCAAATAAAGTGACAATGGCGGCAACATGTAAAATTTTAATAAAGCCATTTGAAATTCCACTAACTGGAAGATGAGCGTTGATGAGGAATCAATTTGCATTCTATTTTCGTCTCAAATCACCTGTGAATAGTGGCCAGTGCCGTGTCCGCCGCTGATGGGCTTGAATCCGTAGATCTTGACTTCGTCGAACCAAGCGTTAATTTGCTTCATGAAGTCGGGCTGCGAGTCAGTGGGGTCGGATGGGGGGCGAGTGGTCCAGGTGGCGGCTAGGTTCTGTCCGACCGGGAAGCGGCCGACGTCACGCTGAGCAGCGCGGTCGTGCGCGGGAGTGCATTGATTAGCCCAACTCTGTGCAGTCGCTGCTAATTCTTCATCCCATACCTTTTAAAATAACAAAGTCTATTAAATAAAGAAATTCTCATACTGTTCTCTTAATTTTATAAAAAAAACTCTCATAACTGTGATTTCGACTGACCTTGTTTTGTTTGCCTGTGACGTGACTGAGATTTATATATGTTTGCCTATATAAAAATCTTAGTCATGTCACAACTATATTAAAAATTTCAAGAATTATTTTAGTAATTTAAATTTTCTGATAATATTATTTTTAGGGTAAATAAAAACAAGTTTTTAGACTTTTTTTAGTTATGATGAATTTTAATTCTTCTACTAAAATTGAGGAACAATGTAACTGTAATATTGACTTCATACAATATTTAATGTAATTTGAATTGACTTGATTTTGTGAAAAAAGGCCGTACGTACCATCTCCATCATGTTCGCCGCTGGAGGCTGACTGGAAACTTGTCCCAAAGCAACTGATTGCCTGAGCCGATTGTGGGCATCGACGATCGCTTGCTTCTCGAACGCAGACAATCCTCCAGATTCTATCAGACAAAAATAAACTTCAATTAAACAACTACGTTTCACTACTTTTATGGTGACTTGTGATTTTTAAGTTTTACATTGAAATTTAAAATATTACTAAGACCAAGTGTCAAGGCAAAATGATTTCATAAACCATTGGATTTATCTGATTTATTAGACCGGTGCGTGCTAACGCAGGTGTCGCTGTCAATAAAATTTTACGATGTCTGTCCATACGGGTATGCAAATCAGAGCATCGTTTTTTAGCTAAAACAAATTGTAGACTAAATGGCGGCTGAAACTTATGTTAACAACTGTTTATTGGGTTAGCAACTAAATGGAATAAAATTTATTTTTTTACCAATTGTGAAATATTTTGCGTAACTGTAATGAGTAAATATTTTTTTTAAAGTAGAGTAATATTTAAACATTCTAAGATATATGTATATTGTGTATATTTTTGAGGGAATATTTTGGAATATAAAAAGTATATTAAAACTTACTCAGCATTTGTTTTCCAGCGCCGCAACCCTCTGCAGTTGCAAGGAGGAAACCTCCCGTTACAAACAACACTAAGGACAACATCTTGTAACAAAAGTCTTTTATCACAACACTTGAAACTGAAATTCAATACACGTCTAAGTTGAGATTCGCAACTAAAAATTATCACTTATTTACGAAACTTCAAAACTTATTTTCTCTATTTGCCTGTGATCCGCAGCACAACGTGCGGCGCGCTCTACAGGATTCAGCGTTCTGTGTGGTCAGACACTGTGCGTGGCCTTATGTACCCGCGGGTGCGTTGCTATGGATACGGTGCGACGCCGGCCGCCCGTTGCGTACGCGCATTGCCGTCTACCAACCGCACATTTACAGGCACTATTTTCCTTACAATCGACTCCCCCAAAACCCAATTTTAAGGCTGAATACAGAAATAAAAATTCATACATTCCTTCTGAATTCCCGCATACAAATATTTAACAATACTAAGTTCACGCGCGTCGATCGTGTTGTATCTTCAGTTATAAAATAAAGAAATGTTAAATGGGTGCCCGGTGACTACTTTTTATCTGCAGTACTAATTTAAAACTCATTATGCTCCACCCTGTGGTTGTCAATGAAATCAAGTTCTTGTGATGTTTTCAAGCCCAACGTGGAAATATGTTGACAGATATTGGTCGGAACGGAAGTGGTCTTTAAGCGAAATTATAGGCAGCACAAAAACAAGGAAAGAATAAATGAAATCACCAGTTTTTGCGGTCACAGCTACTTCATTTTAAGGTTTTACAAAGAATATTTCGGTGATAAATTTATTATTTATTGTTTTATGTTCAGGGTCGTATTTAGTGCCATTTCATACATACGCTAGCTATAGAAAAAGTGACAAGCTTTTAAAAGCTGCTACTTATTTTAAAATAAACACTAATTTAAACTGTGAAGTTTTGTAAATGTCAAAACTATAGATAAATATCCATAAAAAATACGCATATTTAAAGTAGAATCTTGACTCAGCCATAAAATTCACGAATTTTATATAAATGAACAAATATTTATAAAAAAAAATACATGAAATTATAAAGTTTGACATTGAATAACAACAAGCCAATGACCAGATAACTAAAAGAATAAAATGCTGATCAGGTACCATAATCATTTATCGAATAAAAAAACTTACGATTGATTACGTAGAGTGACTTAAATATAAATGCTGCTTCTGCCAATATTTAGAATACCTGTGTTTTTTTTTATAAATATTAGTTCAAAACTGAAGATAAAATATATTAGCTTTTAAGTAATAATAACCACTTAATATTATTGTTTCCTAAGTTTCAAGCACAATTTTTGCACTGGTTTTAAAAGAACTGGTTTTTTCAAACTTCTGAAGTTTCCGATCCTATGCTCCTGCGACCACTTCCTCCGCTCCTGTGATCAGCCAGTAACATTGATCCTCTACCAATATTAGAAATGTGAAAGATTGTATGTTTGTCTCAACCACGCAAAAACTCCTGAGCGGGTTCGGTTGAAATTTGATAGGCAAATAGTATATGACCTGAATTGAGACATAGGATACTTTAAATCCCGGAAAAAAAAATCCTGTGGGATTCTCAAAAAATCAAATAAAAGTTTTGTTTAGATGATATTATTATATCTAATTAAAGTTAAGATGGAATTAGTCGCGGGCGGTCCCTAGTGTTAAATAAATAACACAGTGAGGAGCTTGATGGTGCACTGGTAAGTGCTTTCGGTCTGCAATATTGGTAGTTAAGCAACTTTCATAATGGCCGGTCATAGGGTGAGCGACCAAAAATTGTCAACGTTGCATCTGCCGCGGTTTGCACCCACCGAACTGCACCGAACCTGCGTGCTGGGTCCTCAGACCAATAAAAAAGATCTTTTTTCTTGATCTGAGGCTGAGTCATGGCCCATTTTCCGTATTCCATTCTTAAGGAAGGCCTGTAGTACAGTGAGGAACCTAATATGCTGTTGATGATGACAGTTAAAGGTTAAGTTTTCCTTGTGTTAACAGTGAAATGAATAGAACGAGTACAAAATGCATTATTTACGCTATGACTTGAAAACTCTTATCGTATTATGTAAACAGATCCAAAATTTAATATGAAATCAAGTCAGTGATTTTCAACCACAGAAATTTTAACAACAATATAATTATATCTTCTCAGATATCAGACGGGAAAAGTTTGATATTTCCAAGAAAACTAAATTTCATCCTGTTACTGTTGGTGGTTTGGACAAAAAGCAACCTAACTGTTAATTTCTTAAATTTGTAAAGTATGATGACTATAGTTACATATTGCTCATATTGATTTGAAAAAAAACGTACCTGAAGAGAGTATTTAAAACATCATGTTATAATAAAACCTCGCAGAAAGTCGTTGCTACGTAATTAATAATGTTCAAAAGCTTAAGGTGACAACCTGTCTGTTGCCAACCAATCCGGTTTACCACCTGAGGTGAAGTTCGCGACAAAAATTTCCATATTAATGACTTATATTTCACTGACTTTTTATTTCACCTGCCATGATTCAAATTTACTTTTTATTAATAACAAATTTAGCGATACAGTTTCGCCATAATAATAGAACAACTTTTGTAAGCTTCGCTAGCAATTATTAAAGCTTCATAGCAATTTAAAGAACAGACGTTTTTATCGCAGATATATAAATATTTATCGGAATCTTTTCTAAAAATCGAAACCACATTATGTTTTAAATATCATTAAAAAAAATCCATAATTTGTAAATTTTGCATTACGTCAATTGAGTATTTAATGCACAAAACTTGATTCGAATTTAGAATAAAATTAAATATTACAAAGCTACCTTAGCTTTAAAAAGTCAAATTATAGTAGATCTATAAGTCGCGATACCTCTCAAATCTCTTATTTTATGTAAATATTTGTTTCCAGTTTCTTGACAAGATCATTATCAAGGATTTTATAACCATTTTTGGATGACGGTGAGATCAAAATGTTCCTTTATCACTCCATATAAATTTCAATAAATCACTTTTTTGAACAGGTATAAAGTCTATACAAATATTACAAACTAGCTGACCCGGCGAACTTCGTACCGCTTACAATAATTTGAAAGAAATGAAAGCTATCCGTTCGACAGAAACACAGCTTTTACTATATTAAGCAATTGTTTGGAGAAATCTTCTGTACATTCATATTTACTGCCAGCTGGAAATGTATTACTTACATGGCGTTACAAATTCGATTAATAAAGGTAAGTCTTTATTTCAGTGGCATTAGTCAATCTTGAAATAACTGTCGCGGAAATCTCTAGCTTGGCAGTAAAATCATTGCGCTCCCGGAACACCTTAATCTATCCATCTTCTACATTTTTCTAACAATAAGACCGTTATTCCAGAAGAAGCAACTGCTACCCAAATGTCAATTTTATATGAACACTGTCAATGATATCATATCTATGTTCTTATATATCTATGAACTTGTTACTAATTTGGAGTAAATGTAAAACAAACCTCTATATATATATAAACATTAATGTATATATATATATATATATATATATAAATTAATCGTCGAAAAGAATGTACGCACAAGAATGAAGCAAATTGGATAATTCTTGATACTGGTGAAATTTTCTTATCAATAACCATGAAAAATACAAGGAAAAATCTCTAAACACAAATCAAAACACTCGTCATACCATCGTAATACCGTTTTGCTGTTGCAAAAGAAGCGGTGATTGTATTTTGACAGCATACCGTCGATCTTGAAAGTAAACCTCTTTTCATATTATGATATTAAAAATGAAATTACGTATGGAGATATTTTAAAATTTAGATGGCCAGTAATTTTTCATTAAAAGTTATTTTCAAAATAATTCTATTGTCTTTTTTATTGCTTTTTTCTACAAAGCTTGTTCTGATAGTAAAGTCCACAATAAAAAAAATATCCAATTTGGTTTAGTCGTTCGGAAGTGATGCGCATCACATACATACTTTTTGACGATTCATTTATATAAATAATAAATATATATAAATATAGACTAGCGGCCGCCCGCGTCTTCGTCCGCGTTTACTTAAGTTTTCTTTCAAAAACCCACAGGAACCCAATATGTTTCTGGGATAAAAGGTATATAAACCCTATGTCTCAATCCAGGTAATAAAATATTTCATCTAAATCCGTTCAGTAGTGTTTGCGGGATTGAGTTACAAAGATACTATCTTGCACATTTATAATATTAAAGTAGGAAAAGCAAAATAAGCTCTATTTGCATGTCGCTCTGCTACGCTATTTTTACACCTTAACCAATTTTGGTGAAATTAGGTATAATCAAAACCAATTTTGCTGAAATAAGGTATAAGTAAAATATAAAGTAGTCATAAAGAGGACTTTGGTGAAAATCAAAACTATACCAATTTATAACTTTCTGCGGCACTTTCTTGCTTACATACTCTAAAATGTTAACATGTTTTTAGTATTCAGACAAAAGACGTACCGCGGCTACTTCAATTTGTTTCCTATATGAAGCCGAATGATAAATGACTTGCGTTATTTAACTAGAGGTTTTGAGAAAAAAATATACCGAGCTATATTTATTTTGTTACTTAAAATGCCTGTTCACCTTATTATGATGTGTATAAATCAATTTTTTTTTGTAACTCAAATAGTATTGTTAGCAAATATCTTGTCTATACTATACTAACATTTACACACTTTCAAACGTTATAATTGTTACTAATATTATTTTAATGAATGAGAACAAAATCCTTCCCTAACGATACACGTGCTGAGGATTCTTGATAGATATATAATACTGTTAATTAAAAAAATGATTACTAAAAACTCAAAAATTAACATTTTATGGTGATAAGTTATAGATGTAGGTATATTTTATGTCAGCTATATCTCTCTTATTTAGCAGTGAACGATTATATTAACTTTTCTTGGAGAACAGTATTTATAAATATTAAAAACTAGCTGTGCATCGCGGTGTTACCCGCGGTTTATTAGGGATATTTTCCCGCACTAAGACGTAGCCTATGTGTTAATCCAGGGTGTAAGCTAACTCCATACCAAATTTTATTAAAGTCGATGCAGCCGTTTAGACGTGAAGAAGTAACAAACATACACACTCACAAACTTTCGCTTTTATAATATTAGTTGTGATAAATGTTCCGTATCTTTTATTGATTGTAATTATTTTGATGCATTGTGCAGATAGCTTGTGAAGTAGATAAAAAAGCAGTACATATTTGATTTTAAAATGCACATAATTTTTCTTCCATTATGTTAATTCAATACAATACAAACTAATAAAAAGTTAGGGCCTCATATATAGGTAATTTTAACAAATACAAAATATTTTATTTGAGTTGCTTACTAAACAAACATGATTATTTGTTTTTTATATACTACCACAGACTTATTTCTGTGAGCTCTACAAATCTAGCAAAGTAGCAAATAATAAATCAGAGTAATAATCCATATTGCTATTTATTGTCATCGATTAAATATATATAGGTAATTTTGACAAATTCAAAATATTTAATTTAGTTGCTTAATAAAGTAACATGATTTTTTGTTTGGCATATACTAACACAGACTTATTTTTGTGAGCTCTTCAAATCTAGCAAATAATAATCAGAGTAATAATCCATTTTGCAATTTACTGTCATCGATTAAAATCTCTTAATGAAAATAGAGCCGTATTATAGAAAGTTGTAGCACCACATACAGCCAAAGTAAAAAAAACTGCATGTACGCAACATGAGAATACAATTTTTATCGAAGTAAAATATTGTACAAGATATACGTTGATTTTAAAAGTCACGGTCAAATCGCTGACAGAAATAATCAGTGATGGTTAAATAAATATATCCATGTAATTTTTGCAGATAATTAAACGTTTTGCAAACCGATATTCAATCAATAATAATTGTCTTCCTTATTAGATAACGGAGGAGTCAATACATTAGGAAGCTTTACAGCGAAATCACAATTAAAACGATGTAGGTACCTAGTAGCCTTCGTGTTGATTTAATTTCGAACCAAATAACAATTTTAATGCATACAACTTTTTTTTAAATTTATAGCTTGAGATTATTTCAGTCTGCATCTGTAAAGTTTTACTACAAAGTAGAGGAACTGGTCTCCAAACCTGTTTTGGTATTCGTGGGCATGATCGGGCTTATTTGCCGGCATGTCACCAGTGATTTAAAAACACTGTGATAACGTTACTCCCAGACAAAGCGACGACGCGATTCAAGATTAAAATTACCTATTGCTGCAGACACAAAGGGGTATTATCAACTTTATCGTAACGCAGTAGGGTTCTTGAATCCACAGACGATGTGATAATACGTGGAAACTTTTGTGTTTATCAAATAACTTCACTCTTAAATTTATAAAGTAGAATGAAATAAATATGCATAGATTGCTTAAATAGATAAGGACAACGATAATATGTATTATGGAAACATAGTAAAGACTTTCATTTGACTTTAAAACTTTCAGGTAGTGATACATTAATGTATGTTGTATATCTTCAGTGAACTGTATGATAGGAATATACAGAATACGTAAAAAATGAAAATAAAATGAAAAGTATAACGCGGGTATAAACGCAATATAGGATTGTATATATGTTACTAACGTCAATCCATTAATAATCTCGCATTAATCGTTTTGATCCTTATCATATTCTTAATTGATATAACAAAGTTCAATCCTACTTTTATTATTATTAATATGAAAGTTTATATGTATGTTTCTTATTCTTTCACGCTAAAGCGACTGAACAGATTTGGATTAATTTTGGCATATTTATAATTTATCATCTATGTTGACACATAGTTCCTGTGGGATTCTCAAAAAACTAACTAAGCCACGGGCGGCCGCAAGTGTTTCAAATAATAATAACTGCTCCGGTGAAACTAACATGGGCAATAAAAAAATATGAAACAAACCGTTTAAAGCAAAATCAAGTGAATTTGAGTACAATAACAACCACATACAACAACAAACAAACTGTCTTCGGGAAGTCAGTAAGTGCGAAGTAAACATTGGGCGAATGTGATTCTCGAACGGTAAACTCGTATAGCATCATTACACTCAGAATTCACCAGAAGTTCTACTGCAGAGGCAACATAATGCCACAATGTTGCAGTAATGCATGTAGGTACTTACGACGAATCATAATATTTCTTTTGTGTGTCCGTAAAATTCATGCATATAAAATCCATGTCTTATGGACAATTAAACGTGTAGGTATGCACTTAAGTAATTTGTAACAAAGACGTTAAAGTGCGTAAAGGTACTATACTGCCGATTTCGTTAAGTGACAATAAAATAGCACAAGTTATAGCATCGCGCTTTGGAATTCACATTTTCAAATTTTGTAGATGAAGAAATGTCAGTTGTTGAAATTTGACACCGCTTTAATAAGGGGCTACCTTTAATCGCAGAAAATTTCAATGTTATTATTAATATCAGAGGATGGAATCAACTTCATTTCGCTGAAAATATTTTGACAATCACTCATTTATCAGAAATTTAAACTCATAATTTTGTAAGCCAAAATCATCTTTAGATATATAAATTAAATAACCAAAGCAGAACCATCATATCGCAGAAGGTCACACTCAGAATCGCCTTTAGGCATACAAATATTTAATTTTTCCTTATCTATTAAATAAGGTGGCTAACTATGTTTTAGTTACAACAGTAACGCAACCCAAACCACTACCACAAAACCGATCATGCTTAACAAAATTATGCAGTTTAAATTTTTGCCAGAGGTAAATATGCCTAAATATGTATAAAATTGTGCCACCTAAAAAAGTATGTCAGTGTAAGTGCGGACATGCCTGTCTGTTCTTGTCTGTTATTGCCAAATTTCGGAGCAACAAGATTCTGCCAGATAGAGTGAACCCATTTAATAATATAGGTATAAAGTAAATTAATAGCTGGCATTATAAATACAAATCGTTGTAGCTTTTCACGTAGTCACCTTGTCGTTAAGGCAGATTAAGCGGTTGTTGGCAATTTAGTTAAAGAACGATGAAAGTCTAATACGATTCATTTTATGATTATGAGATGCTAATGTATTAATGACAATACTATATTCGGTAATAATAAAGTTAGTTTAACACTCAAGCCCTTTTTTAAAGTTTATATGATACTCTCAAGGATTTTAACTAATTTTTAGATTTTGTCGTCGAGCATAATACTAAATATATACGTGATATGCGTGCTCTGTTGTGACCATTTCAGAGAGATTTATTTAAAGAACTACAAGAATGGGTCTGTTTAACCTTTAAAAAAATTAAGTTGCTATTGCATAGGTACTTTTATAAATCATTAATAGTAAACTTTATTAAAAAATCAAGATTGGAATTGCTTTTGATGGTCGCATTAAAAGAACCTCCGCGTCAGTTTTTGTTAATCTTATAGAATCGTCCCATATCGTAGCCTACATTTGCACTTGAGGTCAACTATTACAAGCTTCCAAGGTGTAGATTCTGGTTAAATAATAGTAGTGCATCAATGGTGTTACATTTGTTTTGATTTTTGAGTGTTAATAAGGTCCTCTTACAGCAAATTTGCTAAATCTACATTTAAGGAAGAATATATTTACAATAATGTTAAATTGATTATGACGTTTTGACATTTTTCTATGGGCTATATCTAGTTTTAGTTTAATCGAGATTTAGCAAATTTGCTGCAAGTGGGCCTAAAATATAAAATCAAAAATGTTTTTATTTACTCTTGTTATTTTATGTTTTACGTAGTAACGGAACTATTTCAAAAAGGGATACTTTTGAGACACAATTTTTACATTAGCTTAGGAGAATCGACGCCCAGAGTAGCTGTTAATATCTCCACACAACTGCTAAAACGACGTCACATTGCAAAGATGATTAGGATCATCATCATCATCAACAGCCTATCCTAGTCCACTGCTGGACATAGGCCTCTCCAATTGCACGTCACTCAGATCGATTTTGGGCTACTCGCATCCAGCCCCTGCCAGCCACCTTGCCTAAATCGTCATTCCATCGTTCCTGAGTACGTCCTACACTACGTTTGCCTAGACACGTTCTCCCCTCCAGAACTCGATGATTAGGATAGTTATTAAAAATTAGTGTTGCCCAAAATCGGTCTTGGTCTTGCAGTCTTGGTCTTGTTCTAGGATTTTCGTAAGACCAAGACCAAGACCGCCTAATTTTAGCAAAACCAAGACCAAGACTGACCGTGCAAGATTTGAGCAAGAACAAGACTAAGGCTGCGAGATTCTTGCGTCTTGCAGTTAGGACTGAGTGTCGTTTCAGGGAGTATGGTAGTTAGGGTATACGCTTAGGGACGCTATGAGGCGCAAAAAAATTTTACTTAATATACCTGGGCCTATTACATCTTGACTGTGAATTTTGCGTAAAATGGCAATTTTTGGCATTCTTGATCTCAGAAACCAAAATACATTAATAATTTTGACTTATTGAATGCCACAGAAAACTATTGGAATATTTCGAAGAGGCCTCGCTTTTAAATTTTGCTTAACTTTTTTATTATACTCAAAATTTAAAAAAAAAACGATTTTCATAAATTGCGCGAAGCATTTTTGAGCTCATGGATTAGTCTCTTAATTTAGTCGAATACTACGCAGCGGCCCCGGAATTTTGAAATATCATTGATTAAAATGTAGAAATATAATCTTTTTAATAACCAAAATACTACGAAATTATTCTAAGTTAGCTTTAAGTAAGTATATTTTTCCCCCTATCTACAATATTATTATTAAGCAAGATTTAACCCACAATAGTATGGAACCTTTCTGGGTACAAGCTACTACCTCATAGAAACTAAAACCAACGTACTAACTAAAGTATGGAAATAAAAAGTTTTATTATATGATTTATTATATACCAGAACAATTATCACTTCATGAGGAAAAAGGATTTATAATTTTTACTAGCCTTTCGCTCGCGGCTTTTCCCGCGTGGACTACACGACGTTATCCCGTAGGGATGTGATTTTACCCAGCATAAAAAGTAGCCTATATCCTTTCTCAAAGTCCATTCTATATTGCATCAAATTTTATTTATTTAATGGCACGCGCCGGCTGTCACCTGGCCGGCACCGCTGTCTCTGCATTTTAAATCTGTATCATCTTCATTTTTCGAAAATATTCATTAAAATTACATACTGTAAAAGACCATATTATCTTTATTACATGCATAATGTATTTTAAAGTACTAAATTGGATAAGGATTAATATTGTATTGCTGAAAGTCGCTTCGTAAATTAGCCATTATTTCTCTTTTATTTGCGCGAAATAATCAAAACATTTATTCAGAGTCCTGTTTAAAACGCAATTCATTTATTTCCACTGGTGGCGCCACTGAGCGCGTCGAACCACCTTAATGACATTCATTTGTTTTGACCATGTTTTAGCACATGTAAGCATATTAAACGTTCAAGCTTATTAGAATTTAGAATCAGACTGACTTCCCGTGGGGCACGGTAGATAGCTCAGTAGGTTAGACCATCGGCACTGATCGCTTAGGTCGTGGGTTCAAACTCCACCCGGTGTCAGTTGATTTTACGAATTCCTCATTAAATATTCAGACATTTATTAATTTGGTTGGTCTTTACTATGGCTATATTAATTAAAGCTCAAAATGTACCTACTCCGTTACGTTGATCTAAGATCTAAAGTAACGTTTAATAAAAATAGCAAAAGGCTAATAGTTTGATTGGGAGCACAATACCAAGACCAAGCCCAGGTGTATTAGCGCAAGACGCAAGACCAAGACTGGCCAAGTCTCGTTTTGTTCTTGCATATTGGAAACACTATTGAAAATGTTGTACATGCCTATAATAAGTGTATATCAGATACTATTTTGGTGTAATGTGTATTTGTTTTTTGTATGTATGTCTATGTATGTTGATAGTGTATTTTGGTGTGACTAATGATAAATAAATAAATGAGGGTCATAGTTTCATACAGATTTTAGAAAAAAAAACTAAACTTCAGACATTTAGGTGTTTTTACATTAAAATAAGTTGACTCTTTTAGTTTTTATGTGGGATGTGTGCAAAGGCAACCCTATCTTTTATAAAAAAATACACTTTATTAATATGAATGAATGGTTGTAGATTTATATGTTACATAGTTTTATATAAAAATGTTAATTATGAAATATGATATAATATTTTACTGAATGTCATAGTTCAAGTTCAATGTCCTGTCAAATGAATAATTAAGTTATCGTAATAAGGTGTCGAATGTTGGACGATTATGTGGCTTGTTGTATAGATTTCTTACTTCTTCCTGATTTTATTTCACTCCCAAAACATAAAAAAATACAATTAAAATTGCATCAAATCCTCAAACGCTGATTAGGATTGACGCAATATGGATGAATATAATTACAGCGAGATCTTTTTTGGGATTTTAAAATAATATAAAGATATAATATAACGTGGCAACACTGCCTCCTTTACCATAACAAGTCTCTCTAGTACTATTTATTCATATTAATAATATTATCCAAGAAACGTATACATAAGTGCTCGTTAAGTGAAGTGTTTTTCTGGAATGTGACGTAGTGTTGTTATCCAGGTTTATTTTCACCGATAGACATTAGAAATCAACATAATTAAATTATGTTTTTATACCCACTTATTTAAATAATTCGAACCTGTCACTAGTTGAATAAGAAATACCTCCAAAGTTACATAATTTAATGTCAAACTCAAATGACAACATCATAATTGAAATTGACTTTTTCGGTAGTGTTGCCATAGATGACACATAATCCAATTTTTGTGGCAAAATATTTTTGTACGGAGAAGAGTCCATAGAATATCTGCGCCATGAGCTGTGCTGCTTGTAATACTTGTATTGGCAAAGAAGAGGATTATTTATGCTGCACCACAGAGAAATGTAAAAAAAAATACCATTTATTATGCACTGGAAATACAGATTGTGTGCCTGAATTTTGGATATGCCCTGAATGCTGTTGCACGTCCAAAAGAGGTGGAGACAACAACATGACGCCTGTTGGGACAGCCAAAAGGCGAAACGACCCAAATGTTACGCATAGGAAGAAGCCAAATGTGATCGGTTGTGAAACACCAGCAAACAATTTTGAGCAGGAACTGATTTCTGAGTTGCGTGAATTGCGTCAAGAGGTAGTCCTTCTAAAGAATCAACTAGCTCACATAGTATCTACTATAACAGCCTATGATGTAAAATTAAGTAGTCATGATTCTAAAATGGCCAACCATCAAACTGTGATAACCCAATATGAAACAAAAATAGCAAACTTTGTCTCTGAAGTTAAATCACTCCAAGCTCAACTACACAACAAATACGAGATTGATCAACATCCAACGGTAGCAGCTCAGCCAGTTACATCAAGGCAATCATTATTGAAGCATTGTCATGTAGGATCAAACAAAACATCTGCAAAAAAAGCACCTAAAACTGCAGATCCCCCGAAGCAAAATGAAAATAAGAGGAACTTTGTTACACAGCCTTCTCCTACTCCAAAGCCGCAGTCGGGTCGTATAATCCAAAGTACCTTATCAAGCGACAAAATGCAGGCTTTACCATTAGTTGATACTGAAGTGAACGATACACAACATCTGCCTAAGGTCAGAGGGAAAAGTCGAGGCCCGGCTTTCAAGTGTGGCACTGCAGACGCCTCAGTGACAGCACTAAAAGCCGTTGAGGTACGCAAACACATACACCTTTGGAACATGGAATCCGGCATCGGGGAGGTGCGTGATTATATTCACAAGCTTTGTCCCAATGGTTCCTGTACTGTGGAAGAGCTAACTGCAAAAGGTGACTACAAATCATATAAAATAGGTGTGCCTATTATTTACTATGATACTTGCTGCTCGACAGACGTGTGGCCTGTGGACGCCAGAATCAAAGCCTGGGTGAACTTCAAAAGACCAAAAAAGTATACAAATAACAATATATCAGTTGATTCTCCAAATAGATCTCAGCCCTTTCGTGAGCAGCCATCCAGCAGGCCGATGCCGTCCCCGTAATGATACCGTCGCATCTATGCAAATCAACATCTTCTATCAGAACGTTAGAGGACTGAAGACAAAAATAACCTCCTGGTATACAAGCCTGTTGGCCTCAGATCATCTGCTCGTGGCCGCAACGGAGACATTTCTAGACAGCTCTGTAAATGACTCCGAGCTTGTGCCAGATGGCTGGACTCTGTTGCGACGTGACCGACCAACTCCCTGCGGGGGAGTTTTACTTGCCGCAAGACCTGGTGTCACTATCCGACGCAGACAGGAGCTCGAGTCAGAGCGCGGCGAAGACTTATGGGCCACTGTAACATACCGTGGCAGTTCTTTCATTGTGTGTGTAGTGTATATCAAGCCAAAAGCTACTGATGATGTCTACATGAATGTTTTGTGTAACATAGAATCATTTCTGACAGATAACTTAAATATAAATTGTTTTGTTCTCGGCGACTTAAATATGAATAGTGCATCCAATAATATTAATAATTATTACTGTTACTTTTTGACATATTGTAATCTTATAGACTATAATAGTATAATTAATCTCCATGGAAGCATTCTTGACGTAGTGTTGGCGCAGGAGTGCAATGAGTCGCAGTCTCCAAGATTATCTGTGAGTGCAGCTACTGAAGGTTTTGTCTGTCCTGATAAACTGTACCACCCCCCACTTGAGATAGTGGTTAGTTTCCGGCCCCTTGATAGGAATTGTAATAAATTGCAACCAAGCAATATTAACTCATCACACGATTGGAATTTCAATAAAGTAAACATTGTTGATTTGAAATCGCTGTTAGCTGATGTTTCCTGGGAGCATGTCATCGAATCTACCGACGTCTTTAAGGCGGTAGATGCCTTTTACGAAATTTTATACAGTATATTCGATCTCGCAATTCCTAAAAAGCAAAGACGCGCTGATGCGGGCAGTAGATATCCGGTTTGGTTTACTGGGGATATTATTAAGGATATCAAACGGAAGACACGTTTGCATAGGGCATGGGTGACAACTAGGTCCGAAGAATCGTACGGTGTTTTTTCGGCCCTGCGTTCGAACATAAAGTTACGAATCTCTGAGGCTTACAGGGCTCACTTGGCTAGTGTTGAAGAGAGACTGGTGAAGAGACCCCAGGATTTTTGGGGCCACGTGCATAGATTAAGGTCCAGGGGAGGATTTGAACCCTGTATCTCTTACAAAGGAGTTTCTTGCATGGGCGTTGAGGCTGCTGAAGCTTTTGCTGATTACTTTGCTAGTGTGTTCTTAGATCAAACTGTACAGCTTAATGCCCAAAATGCATGCCGGAAAGAGGTTGCGCAGGGTTGTTGCGTTAACCTTTCTTCACTATCACCCCAAGACATCGAATGTGGTTTGAATAGACTAAAGTCAAGTGGTTCGCTCGGCCCTGATAACGTGCCTAGTTTTATTCTTAAGGATTGCAAAAAATATTTGATACTTCCTCTCTATCATATAATGAATCTCTCTCTAAGAAAGGCTACATATCCTACTCAATGGAAGTTGTCAAGGGTGACACCCATTCCTAAGAGTGGAAATAGGAACCTTGTTGACGAATATCGCCCAATAGCAATTTTATGCGCACCTGCAAAGGTTTTCGAGTACATTTTGCACAAGGAGATATATAGACAGATTAAACAGATGATAGGCGATGAGCAGCATGGTTTCAGACCGGGTTGTTCTGTTAATACAAATCTTCTATGTTTGGTTGACTATATTTCTGACGCCATGGACAGTGGGCTGCAAGTTGACGTAATATACTTTGACTTTCAGAAAGCCTTTGACAGAGTTGACAATGACATATTATTGCAAAAGCTTGCTGCCATTGGGTTTGCTCCCAATCTCCTAGCTTTTTTCTCTGACTACTTAAGAGATCGTCGCCAATATGTAAAGCACGGATCTTATATATCCGCGGAGTACCCTACTAGATCTGGTGTCAGTCAGGGCTCTGTGATCGGACCGCTTTTCTTTCTTATTATGATTCATGACCTACCCAAGGTATTGGCTGCGGCTAAGTGTCTTCTGTATGCAGACGACTTGAAGCTGTTTTTTAACATTAAATCATTTGATGACTGCCTTAGATTACAAGATGACATTGACAAAATTCAAGAATGGAGCTTAATAAATAAAATGCAATTTAATCATAGTAAATGTAATGTAATGACCTTTGATCGTAAAAGAAGACCAATACATTTTAATTATAAAATGAACAACTTTCCCATTAATAGGGCAATCAACTGTATTAAAGATTTAGGGGTGACGTTCGATCGTAACTTGAATTTTCACGATCATATATTTTGTTTAACAAAAGAGTGTTACCGTCGTCTGGGTTTCGTTTTGCGACATGCCAGGGATTTTCAGAGTCCAAAGGTTGTGGAAATTCTTTATGCGTCATTAGTTAGGAGCAAGCTTGAATCGAGTGCGTGTGTCTGGAACCCTCATCAGGTCACATATGTGCGAATGCTGGAGAAGGTACAGAAGGCCTTTTTAAGGTTTCTCTACAAAAAAACCTATGGCTATTATCCATTTCGGTACCCAACAAAATTTTTACTCGGACATCTCGGTTTCAATTCCCTCGAGGTGCGAAGACTCGTCGACCAACTAACCATCTGTGTGAAAACGCTTAAAGGATCTGTTGATTGCCTCCACTTGCACAATCTTTTGTGTATTCTGTTTGTCCCGGACAAACCTGGGCTTCCACCGGAACGCAGGCGTGGTCCTCCGCGGCAACATAATCTCTTCCACGAAAACAGGGGTCACACCGTGGCGCGTGCGATGTCACCTTTGGTTAGATCATTGCGTAACCTCAATGCACTCCGGGACGCCAACACTGAATTTGACTTTTCTTTTGACAGTTGGTCTACCATCAAGTCAGCATTATTATGTTATTGTGAAAGTCTGACGGATCAATGGAGCAATACTGTTTGCGCTGACAATGAGGATAGCGCTTGACATTAATTTTTGTTAAAACATATAATATTTATTTGAAATGCTTACCCTATTTATAGTATATTATATTAATATTGACGTTTTATGACATATTATGACATCCATTTAAAATGTGTGAAACTTAAAAATGTAAATGTGTGATAAATGTAATTGCTCTTTGTCGTTTTTATCACAATAAATAAAAATAAATAAATAATTTTACTGATTTTTAGGTTAAAGTGCTTTAAGGGTTTTTCTTCTTTGAGCCAAGTGAGCAAGTCAACAATCAAAATCAACAGTATGATTAAAATATAAGCAGATTCCAACGATTTCGTTTAGAGAATAAACCTAGTCATATCGATAAAATATTAGCAAAGATCTTATTTAAAAAAAAAGCATCTTCACTATTCGTCGAAGGCAAACACTGCAATGTTTGTACTGAGAAGTTGAGTTTGTTTCATGCCAACACAGCACATCCTGTTAAAATGTTTGAATTAAGCGAGTTTAATGTCTGCTAGTAAAGTTTTCAAAGGGTTATTAAAGCGACAGATTTTTTTAGTTTCTCAAATTACTAAAAGTAGTGGCGATTTTATTGTTATAATATAATAAATAATCATTAATTTTTAAATGAATATTAATGTTTTCTAGTACGTAGCAAATGCTAGGGATTAGTCGGTTCACGCTCGTATTGAATGAAGAAGAGACTATTAATTTTATAATAAGATTTTTAAATTGACAATATTACAACAAACAACATTATCCTGCTTGTTTGTGTTGACAGTTTTACACAACAATGTACAACGCAATTAAAGATTCTGCTTCGGAAATCTAGATTTGAACATTAAATAACATTAAATATGATTTATCGAATACCTGTGATTATTTTTCTGAATCTCCTTTTTACAGAGAAATAAGAAATCTATACAACAAACCCTCTAATCGTCCAACATTCAACTCCCTATTACGATAACTAAATTTTTCATTTGATAGGACGTTGAACTTGAACCTTGATATTCAGTAAAATATTATATGATAGTATAATTATTTTTTTGTGTGTGTACGAAATAAATATATCATATTTCATAATAAACACTTTTTATATAAAACTATGTAACATAAAAATCTACAACTATTCATTCATATTAATAAAGCGTATTTTTGTTATAAAAGATTTGACGACATCCCGCATAAAAACTAAAAATTTCAATTTATTTTAATATCAAAACACCTAAATGGTGGAGCTCGATGGCGCAGGTGTTCGGCTGCGATCGTTGAATTTAAGCCACTTTCGCAGTGGTCGGTCATTGGATGGGTGACCAAAAAACTTCTATCTTGAGTTCCTCCGTGCTTCGGTAGGCACGTTAAACCGTTGGTCCCGACTGCATCGCAGTCGTTAGCACCCGCACTGGGCCCACGACGTGGGTCATGTCCCAATCTCCCAATTCCATTCATAGGGAAGGCCTGTGCCCCAGCAGTAGAAGCATTATTAGGCTGATGATGATGATGATCTCCTTTTTACCACTTACAAGAAATAAGATAAAAAAAGAGAGAGGCCATAAACACGAAGCGAAGAAAATCCTTGTTATAAAGCTACTTATTCTCGGTGTAATTTTTAGCCCCAAAGATATTGAAGTTTTCGATGTTCGAGTTAAGGAAACCACACGCTTATATCTCTGGACTAATAATAATGTAAGGTAACACATGCCTATTACTAATATAATTTCGAGATCGCTGGGTTTAATAATAATTTACTGGAAATTTTAGGCTAGTACATTTATTTCTTCCTGTGATTAAATATACTTATATGATGCGTTAGTTTTCCCCGTTGTTTTATATCAACTCTTTTAACACACAACACCACTACACTAATGGATAAATAATATTTTTAGAAATCATGCATCATGAAGGGCATGTCCGGGAGTAGATCCACCAACCTCTTTATCTTCTCAGAGACAGAGGGGCTAGCCGCTCTGTTTGCGTTTTTAAAGTGATTTTTTAGCTTCTTCCGAAAACGCCACAGAGCGTGCTTTCAGGCAGAGTCTGGTTACTGGTTGCAAGCTTTACCTTCAGCTAATATTGGAACTTTGCTTGACAAGAGCACTCTGTCCCTGGAAATATCGATTCGACTTCATGTCAAGACGAATCATCCCCATCGTTGTCGCTGCGATACTCGCGTCGGTGAGTTGGGTCACCATGGTCTCTCATGCCAAATGAGCGCTTGCCGAGTCTCCCGCCACGCCTGCATCAATGACGTCATCCGCAGAGCTCTTGTCGCAGTTAACGTGCCAGCGGTCCTTAAGCCTAGCGGCATCTTCCGTGACGATGACAAGATGGCTGACGGGATGACGCTCATAGCTTAGAAGCGGGGTCGCCCTCTTGTATGGGACGCAACTTGCGTAGATACGCTTGCTCCGTGCCATACGGGGTGCACCTCACTTGCTGCGGGCGCAGCGGCGCCCTCTGCTGAGCGGCGCAAATATTCAGCTCTCAATGAGAACTATATATTTGTGCCATTTGTTGTTGATCCTATGGGCCCATGGGATCCAAGGCATTATCAAAGAGACTCACCGAAGTGACTGGTGCCCAAAAGCTGGCAGCTATCTTGGTCAACGGATCAGCCTTGCGATTCAACGTGGCAATGCTGCCAGCCTGTTGGGCACCATTCCTGACGCCGGCGCTGGGGGTGACATATTTTTCATGTAGTAAATTAAATATTTTTCGTCAGTAGTTTAAGGTAATTTTTATTAAAATTTTATACATTAGGTAGTTTTAAAGTTATTGTAATATTATTTTCTATAGATACAAAATGAGTATTAAGTAAATAAAAGAAAACGCATGTAAAGTTTAGAAATATTAACTGTTCATTAACTAGGTATTTCCAGTAACTAACCGCGTAATAGGTAATCATACCATTGTTAAGTTGCTCAGATAACAGGATTCTTAAACATTTGGAAAATTAAAATTCAATAAAAAAGTATTCATGCTTATTCTCATCTCTTACGTGTAAGAATTTTCGAAAGGCAACAAACATTGTACAATTTTACCGTAACTTTCAAATTATAAACTAAGCAAGGTTTTCGAAGAACTAAAAATCAAAGGAAAACTGGTTTTGTCACAAATATGGAAAAAAGATTGCGTACATACGCTCACATGACAATTAATTAATATTTATTGCTCTATTATTTGCTTGATTTTTGAGAATTTCAATTATAGAGTGTTAAACCTTTAGAGTTTCACAGTAAACTGATAGTAATAAATTATCATGTATTTTATTAGCAATTAAAAATAAGATTATTTTCTAGTCAGAAAAACTTACAATTTTCGAAAAAATTTCGCTGCAAATTTTCAAGTGCGTATAGTAAAATATATCAACGGGCGGTAATTCGAAAATTTGTGTGACGCAAGAAGCTGACAATAAATCACTTTTATTTGAATACATTTTAAATCAACCAAATAACAAATGGCAAATGTGGCGTCTTTGAGGTGCAGCGATGAGAGTTATGCTTTACTCTCAAACTGTACATTTGTCATTTTATTATTAACCATGCAAGCAATACCTACACCTTTTTAATAATAGAACACGGAATTTCTGAACCACAGGGAAACGTAAAGGCTTTGGTGGTCACTTTATAAAACATCAAATGTCAGTGTTGGTTACGGTCTGAAGCGGCTACACCGATTTATATATTTTTTTTGTGCATATTTAGTAGGTCTTAGAATAGAGCTATTTTTTAAACCCCTAGGTGATAATCACACCTCGCTGAATCAATTAAATAAATAAATATTCAAACTGCTCGTGCAAAAGTTTGTACAAAATTGCAAGTGGAAACCATCGCTCCTTTCCACCAAGCATCATTTTCTGGTTCTTGTTTACCTCCTCCACCTCGCTTTTTTGTATACTTTTGTATACCTCGCTAAATGTATTTATTAATTAAACTTTATACCACCAATCAGAATATGCATAGGCGGTCCAATTTGTTAAGAAAATCCGTATTTAAAATCAGGAGAACATACATCGGCTTAACCAATTAGTGTTAGAATAAAGGATTAACATGAGTGGTCTTAGTTTTTATAGGAATAAATTCCTGAATCGTGTAGGAAACGAAGTGAGAAAGTAACATCTCGACTCAATTCGACAAGACAAATAAAAAAAATGACTTTATCTTTTTCGAAATTACGTTTCTCAAATTGCATAGCGGAATTACAAAATGCAAATAAAATCATGGTTTAGATTAATGACTAGAGCCAGTAGGTGGTACTGTAATCGATTTCTCGATTTCTTTGATTTTATTATAGTGCAACATCATCAGCTATGACATTGTCTTTCCGAATCCGAGAGTATGTTTAGAAATAAATTATTATTATATTACTCAAATGTTTAATTTTGTTTCCTATCCTTCAGAAACCATAGGAAAATTCAGATACTACGATGGTATTACTGTATAAAATTCTCAACATAAAAAATTTCTTAATCTTATTAAACTTGTGTAAAACAATAAAATCATAAAACTCAAGTATAAGTTAAATATAAGTTTCTTTATCTTATTTGTTTTCACGTGAAACAAAAAAAAACAACGCAGCATCATCGTGCCCCGTAACAATTTAACGGACGCCAGATTGTGGTTTGACAGTTTTACTTGGAAAGATTATTCTGCCGAAAAATAATGCGTAAAATTGTTAGCAGTATGTTACGGTTCACAATCTTTCGATGGTTTATAATCTCGTGAGATAAATCATAATCTAACGGTGTTTGCAATTTTACAGCGACATATTATATAACGAGGTCATACACTACCCCATCGCGTGCTCTGATAAAATAAATGTTCTAGAAGCAAAGATATTTTGTCTACCAACAAAATATATTTGATTTATCCAGCAAGTTGCTATCTGAGTTTTCTTGTAAGTTTACACAAATATTAATAATAATAATATCATGTATCCTTCTTTGAAATTTAACTCGTCATTAATTGCGGCCATCAAGAAGAAGCAACCGTTGGCAACTTTTTAAGAGGCAAAGGTTAAATTGTGATTAGGGTATATTAATACTCAGGTGTTAATGATCTTGAAGTGTGTCAATAACTGTATAAACTAACTTCACTATCACAGACGCCATCGTTTATATAATAATTATGTTTATTTATTTTCTATAATATTTCGTGTTCAATACTACCAACAAAGAGTTCAATAGCATAAAAAACCAGCCAGGTGCGAGTCGGACTCGCGCACCGAGGGTTCCGTACAAACTCAATTTAATACCTCTACGCGTTCATGAGAAAACTTTAAAATTTTCGAAAATATTTTTTATTATATGATGTCACTAAAAATTTACAGTTTTCGCAATTTTCCCTTTATCTGTACTATAAGATTCACGAAAAGTACCCTGTAGGTTTTGATTCCCGTGCGAGTTTCGAAAATTTGCGGCATAAACGGCTGTATCTTTTGATTGCTTTGGCTTAGAAGTTTGATTTTTTCACAGCTCCAAGGGACAAGAGACATGAGTATTAGATATGAATTTCAGTTTGATACTCCACGCGTTCCTGAGAAAAACGGTCTTGACAGACGGACGGACGGACAACAAAGTGATCCTATAAGGGTTCCGTTATTTCCTATTGAGGTACGGAATCCTAAAAACGGTATTGGATTCTTATTTTACAAGTACTAATTTCGAGTATAGTAAGTACATAGCTTTCATTTCATATTTTATTTAGCCTTCGCCTATTTTTATTTAGCCTCTAAGAAAGTGAAACGAAAATAGTTTTAACTGAAGGCCTGGAAATTGTTAAATGTACTACAAGAAACAATAAAAAATATTATGTTAATTGTAACTTTCCTTCAGACACGCTTTTTAGGGTTCCATAGTCCTAACAAGGAACCCTTATAGTTTGGTCATGTCCGTCTAGTCGTCCCCGGTTTTGCATACTTTTGGATACTATTAGTACTAGAGAGTTTTAATTTTGTGGAGATATGTATATAGATCACGGCGGCAAAATGGTGGAAAAAAAATAAAAATAAATTTTATCAGTAAGTACATGTTTCCTCCATTTTTTTTCAACATCTACCAAATCGTGAGGGATATCGTTGAATAGGCCCTCTAAAATTATTTAGGGGATTCTAAGACTACTTTTCGATTTAGGGATCCGTTTACGAAATATTGAACTTTAAAATGCTAATTTTTGTTCGGGTAGGGCGGCGGCGTAAGCTTTTAGAGGGGTGAGCCTCTAAAAGCTAAACTATTAACTTGAAAAACGTGGATAAATTCATGATAATAGTTCTTTTCATGAACTTTTAGAAAAACTTTAACGATTAAGATAGATTTATTAGCTTAAGAGTAATAACCGTTCAATATTGGTTAAAGAAAATTTCTTACCTATTGAAAATTCCTTAGAAGAAAGCATTAATAACATTAAAGTGACATAGACGAAGTTATTGTAGCCTTAAACCTTGCATTGCAACAAAATTTAAAAAAACTATTTAAAAACCACAGTAAAATATCATTAGTTCCACAACGCCACCGCGAGTACCAACGGCAACGGCTTCTGAGTCGCGTTAACGTTACGTTTTTATAAAAAGTATATAAGCACATAAAAAGATCAGCGGTTATACCGCATCAACCCCTTCTCAGCGGATGATCGGTCCAGATGAACCTTTTAGTCAGTAAGAGTCTGACCTTGCAGCCGGCTATAGGGTATCCATGAGGATTTCACACCCGCCCCCCGCCCGGGATGAAACAAAATAAACCAACGGTTATCATTAGTATTTAAAAAATAATAATAACTTCGAATTGATTTTGAGTTTGAGACGCAGTTTGACTTTGATTTAGGAACTTTAGTTGTGATACACAGATTGATATTAATTGGTTTTTCTAATTTCCGATATAGAAAATAAAGACTGTTGCTCAAATATATTGTAGTAACTACAGGCAACTACGGAACCCTACACTGCGCGTGGCACGACATGCACTTGGCCGGTTTTATACATCGTGCTGTTTGCTTTATGTGGTACAAGGTGCCAGAATGGAAGTATTACTACAATACTATAACACTGAACACTACAAGCCAAGTTATCATTATCGAGGCTAAAGTATTCTTAGACCTCAAATTACCGCATGGATTTGAAATCACAATAAACTGGAATCTAATGACAAATAAGCAACTATCTCTTTAGTATATTACATTTAAACTGGGACTAATTTAAATTTTAGCAATATAGTAATATCTATATAAATTATGGACAAAGCTATTTACCAATTATATTCAGTCAAAATACCGCCGGGTCCCAGGTTATTCAAAATAATTTAAGTATACTAGGTATAGTATATTTATTTTATAAGGGGCTTAGATTACACATATTCCAAAAACGTTTTGTCACAATTATTAAATATACATACATACCTCGTGTATGCTACAGTTTACAATATTTCATTCACATTCAACACTGACAAAACTATTTTTAAGATTTAATTAATATTTGTGAGAGTTTACAATAATTAAATTAATTTGTTTTATCAATAAACAAAACTAACTTGGAACCATTCAGTACCAACAACAGACACTATATGAGCAGTTCTGAAGACGATATAAAAGATAAATACGTGTTATAGAATAAATAAATTTATGTTTATTATTACTGTTTGGTGCTCACAGTGTCAACTACATCATATTATATCGATGTACTGAGTTTGTTAATGGCTCATAAAGTTTTATATAACTCGGGTAAATAAACACTCATCATAACGCACAGAGAGCGAACTGTTCCGCATAATAAATAATTTATCAAATAGGCTTTAGCAAAGATGAGATGGTTAGGTTATATTAGGTTACACACTAAAACGAATTTTAATAAAGGCTAATATACATAGAGCAACGCAACGTGAAAATAAATAAATAAATAGTCACATATAAATAAAATTGGAGTGTCTTGTTTTAATATTGAAATAACCGCTTTTTACTACATGCATATGAATTATATATAAGGTACATACAATAAAATAATAATTGTATGTATTATTTTTTACAATTTTTGTCTGCCTGTCTGTTTGTTCCGGCTAATCTCTGAAATGGCTGGATCGATTTTGACGGGACTTTTATTGGCAAGTAGCTGATGTAATAAGGAGTAACTTAGGCTACTTTTATTTTAGAAAAATATATTTTATTTTAGAAATAAAAAAATACCTAAAGTTAACGCGGACGAAGTCGCGGGCGTCCGTTAGTAAGAACATAAACCTAATTGTCAAATAGTGGCACACAATCATTAGACGTTCCGCATGAAGTCAGGGCTTAAAGTATGACATAGGTACACTTTAAGCAGTTGAATCATTTAAAATCGAATTCAAATGATATCGGTTTGAATTCAGCGTACCATGGGTAGGTATTATCTAATCGAACAAATCTTAGATAGAAAATGAAGATGATATACACCCTAATAATATTGAAATAGGTATTTTCAATTTTAAAATAAATCCACGATACATTGTATTATTTCACCATACACTGAGATAATATATTATTGTATTACTTAATGTATTTGTTCCCAAATGTTGCATTAAAGAAAACTCATTAGAAGTGCATCCTAATTGCTATTTACAAAATATGTAACTCCATGAAAATGCTCAAAATGTAGGAGTTGCTGTGAGAGCATTTTTATATGTGGATTTCTGCCCACAGTGGGGTATTTACTGAATGATCGTAAAAATAATTTTATAATTGTAATCCTTGATGATTGTGAGGTATTGTTTTCCTCGTTTATAGAATATGGCCCTGAATCTTTATATCTTAAAGCTCTACGTGTCTAATTAATAAATGCAACAAATGAAGTACACATTGAGATATCTCAATTTGAAGTGATGCTGATGCGTATGTCAAACGAGAATCACCTTTGAGATAAAGTTAAATATGAAGTATTTATGTGAATATAGACAATTTTATTTAGGAGCTCGATGGCAATGACAATTTTATTGGTAAGCGCTTTCCGCTGCGATCGTTCAGTTTAAACATCTTTCGCAGTGGTCGGTCATTGGATGGGTAAGCAAAAATTAACTTACTATCTCTATCACCTCCGTGCTTCGGAAAGCATGTTAAGCCGTTGGTTAACCCATCGATCCGTACTGGGCCCACGTGCAGGGTCATGGCCCAATATCCCTATTTCCATTTCCATAGGCAAGGCCTGTGCACCCCAGCAGTGGGGACATTATTAGGCTGATGATGATGATGACACAAAATTTGTTTATGAAACTAACTAATAATATTTAAATTGAAGGGGATAAAAGAAACATTATATTTGAATGAATAAATGCTCTGATTTACACCAAATAATCAAATAATCAATGTACCAATTTTCCTTTATTAACAACATTTGGTTATCAGAGTGTTAGTCTTACAAATTATTTACCTACACATTTATCATACCTAATTAATTTACAAGTTTCACAAAAAGTAATAAATCACATAGAACATTATTCTAAACAAAAACAAATCGTGATATATGCAACTTCGTCATGCAAAACTGAAATCAATTGTTTGATTGTTTTTACATTGTTTTCGCACTCTATTCACGTGTCAATCAAACTGGAATATAATTTACCAGTACTTATGACAGAACATTACTTAGGGATATGTTGATTTATATAAATTTCTAGCAGTATCAACTACTATCAACCGAATACAGAACATTATTAAGGTATGATTACCTACATGTAAAATTGTGAACAACTGTGGATACCATTTTTTTTTATTCGTAAAAATAAAAAAAACGAATAAATGTAAAATAAAATATAGAGTATTTATATATAGGTATTAGCATGGCATTCTTTTATGGCGAGTAACTAAGTCTTAATTTGAACTAAGTGTAATTAAGATTGTTGGTGCAAGTTTCCCTTTATAAATTAATAACATAGTAAAATTAATTTTAATTCGACTCCTAATCAACCTAGTACGTTTTCTAAATTACATTGAGAGAATCACACGATGAACGGTTATCTTATCGTTGGCTCAAGATTCTTCAAGCAGCTACCGCGCTGCAAGGTGTCAAGCAAGCACGCGGACCACGATCACGTACGCGTGTTTATACTCTACGGTCGAATGACGCAAACTTAAGGCTTGCTTTCGTAGTTCTCAAACTACAGCGATACAAACGATTTTAATCCTAGGCAAAGTGGCATAAGGTTAGACCCGTCCTCCCTGGTAAGTACCAGGAATACCAGGAGCCTAATTACCAGGGGGTAATCGATCAAAAAACTTACCACTATAGTATGTGTATTATATTTATAGTTAGGAAAGAGAATTGTTACGTCACATTGAAATTTTAATTCAGCTTTAAAGGAGCTAGCGAAACGAGTAAGAAAATGGCATCCTTAATGCAGTAAGACTAGGCTGACCTTAAACAGTCTTAATCAAAATCTGCATTCATAATTTGAATTTATATATCATTAATTCAGAGCACACGGGATTTCTTACAATTTAACTACCATCTACATATATTCTGATTAGTACGTCAGATTACACTCAGCATTAATATACCATTTATTTTTTCCTCACAAAAGGTGTAACAGTACAATAGATAACTAATTTAATCAATACAAATACATAAACCTATTATGTGGGAGACTGGCGCCCGTAAAAGGCAACTACGAATAGCTACCTGTACTAACAGGTCACCAGGATTTTATTGAATTTTAATACTTCGCATTGCCTCCTCGTGCTTCCATTACTGCATTTACCCGGTTTGGCATGCTATACACTAAGTTTCTTATACGATTTTGGGGAATATTCTCCCATTCCTCTGTGAGAGCAATTTTGAGCTCACGAAGCGTAATTGGGGGAGGGTTTCGTTGTTTTACGCATCTCTCTAGCTCGTCCCAAGCATGCTCGATCGGGTTGATATCCGGGCTGCGGGCTGGCCACTCCATACGAGTAATGTTCATCTCTTGAAGGTAGTCATTCACAATCCAACCTGTATGAGGTCGGGCATTGTCATGCATAAAAATAGCATCCTCACCCAAATTAACCATTAATGCACCAACGTGTTCATTCAAGATTTCTTCCAAATATCTTTCGCTAGTTAAAGAGCCGTTTTGTATGAACACCAGTTCTGTACGACTCTCAGAAGAAATTCCGGCCCATACAAGTACAGACCCACCACCGTAGGTTACTTTTTCTTCGACGCATGCTTGCTTGAATCTTTCCCCAGGTTGTCTTTAAACTCTGTGTATTCCATCATGCCTGTAGAGAATAAATTTTGATTCGTCGGAGAAGATAACATTTGACCAATCATCAATAGTCCAATTTAAGTGGTTCTGGGCTTAACTTAGTCTTGAAATATGATGGCCACACTCCAGTTTAGGGCCGTTTGCAGGTCTAAGTGGTTTCATGCTAGCTTCAGCAAGTTGTCGTCTTACTGTCCATGCGCTCGGGTTACTTCCTCCGAGGCGTCGAAATTGATTTGTAATTTTAGTTCCAGTGAGAAAGCGATTTCGATGCATGGTGTTCACTAAGTATCGATCATGATTACAGCTTGAAACATTAATATTGATCGCTATCGACATGATTTATATGAATGATAAATGACAGATTGACAGAAACAAAAGCAAAAACAAATGCAGTATTTCGTACGTCCATCTTCGAAGATCTCCCTTTTTAATTTTTTTTTGTGATATAATTTTACAACAACTAAAAAGTTTTAATATCTTCATTTAAGGAGTATTTAATTGTCTATTAACTAGAATTTATTTAATTAAACAAGCATGCTTAGTTTGCGCGATTTTAACGATTATTTCAGTGACCCGGATTCATTGCTCTCCAGTGTATGTATGTGTCTGATTGATCTTATAAGGAATCAAACTGACAAGCATTATGAATTCACAAATACGAAAAAATTCAAAACGTAACTTGCGTTTGGAATTTTTTCATACATTATCTGCGACGAGCACACACAAACGGAATCATATTACGAATTTGTCGGTTGATATAATCTCTCTAATTTGCACTATACCTATTTAGAGACGTTGTGTGTCGTGCGAGTCAACTGATCAAGCCGTCAACGGATTTTATAAGACTTGTTTGAGAAGAGAAAAGCACCAGAATTCATATATCATATCATGAATTCATATTATGGATTCTAATTCTGATTCAGATTGTGTAAGTCTGCAGTAAGTAGCTATATCTGAAATGAAATGAAATGAAATGAAAAGTCATTTATTCAGTCTAGGCTGTTACAAGCACTTGTGAAGGTCAAGAAGCTACGCCATCGGTTCGCAAAACTACGGCGGGAGACCTTGTACTGAGAAGAACCGACAAGAAACTCAGCAAGGGCTGTTTTTTTCTCCCTGTATTGTTATATACAGTGTCGTCAAGTTGAAAAATGACTTCAAAAATACGTCTGAAGTCACTTTCCATTACATCATTTAGAATATAAATATATAGTTACAATTAATTTTATAGTAAACATTATATTTAGTATATAGGAAGCGGCATTAGATAGGTACAATATTACTGTTATGAAAAATGACCAATACCCATTTAATAACAAATTATA